AAAAAAAAAAAAAAAAAACTTTTGTAAGGGAGGAGCAAGACAGCAGCCGAGTTAACAGCTTCTTTGCAACTGGGAATGGTGAAACTGGGGAGAGAAGACTCCAGGCATACCTGGAGTCTGCCCAGACACATCCCTTTGGGGACATAGGGTGTCAATGAGGACCCCATGAGGAGGACAGAAGTAGTGGAGAACTGGACTCATCGAAACCTTAGTTCAAAGTCACAGTAACTTAATGAGCAAGAGGATGTGAAAGGAAAATTAGGTGAAGGAAACAGAAAAGAAAACACTCATGAGGAAGAATCAGCAGAGAAATCCTGGGATTCCACCTATAAAGAAATGTTAGAAATGACAGAAAGGGAATTGAGAATACACATGATGAAAACAATGAAGGAAATGATGGAAAACAATGAAGGAAACTGCTGATGAAGTGGAAAATAACCAAAAGGAAATACAAACACAGAATCAAGTAAGAGATGAACGACGTGAAGAATATAGGAAGGATATAGCAGAGCTGAAGGAACTGAAGCAGTCAATGAGGGAACTCTAAGATGCAACAGAAAGTATCAACAAAAGATTAGACTATGCAGAAGAAAGAATCTCGGGGAGGACAAAGCTCTTGAGAGAACTCAGATAGTTAAAGAGGCAGAAAAGAAGTGAGAAAGCAGAATATTTTCACCGACAGAATATGGGACTTTATGAAGTGTTCAACCATCTAAGTTATGGGTATCCCAGCAGGGAAAATTGATCATACCCTAGGATATAAAACAAACTTCAACAGAATCAAAAGAATTGAAATTTCACCTTGTATCTTCTCAGACCACAAGGCACTAAAGGTGGAACTGAACTCCAACAAAAACTTTCAACCCCCCACAAAGGCATGGAAATTAAACACCCTAATGCTGAATGACAGTTGGGTGTAAGAAGAAATAAAAGAGGAAATAATTAACTTCCTTGAGCATAACGATAATGATGACACAAGCTACCCAAACCCATGTGATACAGGAAAAGCAGTTCTGAGAGGAAAATTTATCCCTTTTAGATGCCTACATTCGAAAAACAGAAAGAGCACCATCAACAAACTCACAAGCCATCTCATGGAATTGTTAGTCTTCTGCTAAGCCTAAAAGACAGCAGAGGAAAAGAAATATCCAAAATTAAATTCAAGATCAAAGAAATTGAAAACAAAAGAATCGTTAAGAAAATGAAACAAGGAGTTGTTTTTTTGAAAAAATAGATAAACCTTTGGCCAGATTAACTAGAAATAGAAAAGTAAAATCTCTAGTAAACTCAATCAGAAATGATAAAGGGGAAATAACAACTGATGCCACAGAGGTACAAGAGATTATCTCTGAATACTATCAGAAACACTATACCCCCAAATTTGACAATGCGAAGGAAATGAATCAATGTTTGGAAACACGCCCTCCCTGGACTTAGCCAGGAAGAAATAGAACTCCTGAACAGACCAGTTTCAAGCACTGAGATTAAAGAAACAATAAAAAAGCTTCCAACAAAAAAATGCCCTGGTCCATATGGCTTCACACCAGACTTCTATCAACCCTTCAAAGAAGAGTTTACTCCCATACTACAGAAATTATTCCAAAAAATTGAGGAGGAAGGAATCTTCCCCAACACATTCTACGAAGCAAACATCACCCTGATAACCAAAACCAGGAAAAGACCCAAGGGTGCCGGCCCCATATGTCAGAGGTGGTGGGTTCAAAGCCAGCCCTGGCGAAAAAAGAAAAAGAAAAAATTAAGAAAATGAAATACCTAGGAATATGCCTAACAAAAGAGGTGAAGGACCTCTAGAAGGAAAATTATGAAATCCTAAGAAAGGAAATAGCACAGGGTATTAACAAATGGAAGAACATACCATGCTCATGGCTGGGAAGAATCAACATGGTTAAGATGTCTATACCTCCCAAAGCAATCTACCGATTTAATACCATCCCTATTAAAATAACAACATATAATTTTTAAGATTTGGAAAAAATGATTCTGCGTTTTGTATGGAACCAGAAAAAACCCCATATAGCTAAGGCAGTTCTTAGTAATAGAAACAAAGCTGGGGGCATCAACATACCAGGTTTTAGGTTGTACTACAAAGCCATAGGGGTCAAGATGCATGGTACTGGCATAAAAATAGAGACATAGACATTTGGAATCAAATAGAAGACCAAGAAATGAAACTAACATCTTACAACCATCTAATCTTCGATAAACCAAACAAGGACACACCTTGGGGGAAGGACTCCAATGGTGCTGGGAGAGTTGGATATCCATATGTAAAAGACTGAAACTGGACCCACAGCTTTCTCCATTCACAAAGATTGATTGAAGATCGATAAAGGCCTTAAATTTAAGGCATGAAACAATAAAAATCCTCAAAGAAAAGCATAGGAAAAACATTGGGGGATATTGGCCTGGGGGAAAGATTTTATGAAAAAGACTGCTGTGGCAATTGCAACAACAACAAAAATAAACAAATGGGAGTTAATTAAACTGAAAAGTTTCTGTACCATTAACGAGACAGTAACCAAAGCAATAGACAACCTACACAGTGGGAAAGGATATTTGTATATTTTAAATCAAGACAAAAGCTTGATAACTATGATCTATAGAAAACTCACATTAATCCACATGAAGAAAGCCAACAATCCCATGTATCAATGGGGAAGAGACATGAATAGAACCTTCTCTAAAAAAGACGAATGGCTAACATGAAAAAATGCTTATCATCCCTGATTATTAGAGATATGCAAATTAAAACCATCCTGAGGTACCATCTAACCCCAGTGAGAATGGCCCACATCACAAAATCTCAAAACTGCAGATGCTGGCGTGGATGTGGAGTAAACAGAACACTTTTACGTTGCTGATGGGACTGCAAACTAATACAACTTTTTTGGAAGGCTGTATGGAGAACCCTCAAAGAACTCAAGCTAGATCTCCTATTTGATCCTGCAGTCCCATTGCTGGGAATCTACCCAGAAGGAAAAAAATCCTTTTATCACAAAGACACTTGCGCTAGACTGTTTATTGCAGCTCAATTTACAATCGCCAAAATATGGAAACAGCTTAAATGCCCACTAACCCAGGAATGGATTATAAACTGGTATACCATGGAATACTATTCAGCCATTTTAAAAAATGGAGACTTTACAGCCTTTGTATTAACCTGGATGGAAGTAGAACACATTGTTCTTAGTAAAACATCACAAGAATGGAGAAGCCATGAGTCCTATGTATTCAATTTTGATATGAGGAAAATAATGTTTGTAAGGGCCAGGCATGGTGGCTCGTGCCTTTGATCCCAGCACTTTGGAAGGCCGAGGCAGGTGGTTTGCCTGAGCCAGAGTGAGACCTCGTCTCTATAAACAGCCAGGAATTGTGGTGGACACCTGTAGTCCTAGCTACTTGGCAGGCTGAGGCAGGAAGATTACTTACTTGAGCCCAAGTGTTTGAGGTTGCTGTGAGCTGTGAGCCACGGTGCTCTATCGGGGCAACAATGTGAGACTGTCTAAACCAAAAAAGAAAAACCTAAAAACCTTTTGTAGTATTCTGCATGGTGCACATTCATCATCACATCCTTCCCGAGTGCTTCGTTGATCCTTCAAACTGTCCAGGCTGCATTGGTTCCATGATACATCTCGTATGCGAAAATACTATGAAATTGTTGTTATCCATGATTTCATAAAAAAGTTGTCATAAAAAAATTTTGAAAGATAAAATCATAAGCCAAAAATCAGCACTTGAAATAATGAGGATGTACCTTCATGACAAAAAAAAAAAATCCCAAGAAGTGTCAAAGTGAAACATCAGAGATACCAACTGTCAAACTCAGTACTTAAGGAAATCAGGTCCTTTTTAGTTGTCTTGGTCTCACCTGACAGGGCGTAACTCATTCAGGCGTACATCTAGAACACTACAGGGGTCCTCAAACTTTTTAAATAGGGGCCAGTTTACTGTCCCTCAGACCTTTGGAGGGCCAGACTGCGGGCCCCAGGACGAGTTGGCTGCTAAGCAGGATGGACAGCAGCGGCAGAAACACCCAGTGGGCCAGATAAATGTCCTAGGTGGCCTGTTGCCCACGGGCCGTAGTTTGAGGACGCCTGCAGTAGATGGTGGGGAGGGAAACTCATGTGCCTACTTAGAAGTCCAGTGAGTCCAAACGAAAACACAGTTTTGAAAAAAAGCATATTGAGCCATTTCATCAAAGTAACTGTGCCAGATGTAGGTGACTGTTGAGTGCTTCTTTGCTCTGTGTCCTGTGTCCAGTGTGTGTCTGACCAGTTTTCCTTCTTCCCTCTTGGAGCAGTTTTACTCTGGGCACCGGTCCCCTCACATTCCGTACAAGCTGCTGCACCTGGTGTGGACCCATGCACGGCACCTGGCGGGCTACGAGCAACAGGATGCCCATGAGTTCCTCATCGCGGCCCTGGACGTCCTTCACCGGCACTGCAAAGGTGGGCCCTGCCCCTCTTTCCTGGCCTAGTGTCAGGCAGGATGTTCTCCTTCCAGGGTGCAGAGCGCATGTGGCTGGCATTGAACTGTGTTACAGACTTTATCTTTTTTTTTCTCCCAATAAGAAGACTTCCTAATTATCTCAGAGAGTTTCTTTGTTGTTTAAGAGAAGAGAAAATAGCTTTATTGTTGTGGCTGTCTGTCCTCCCTGACTGTCATGAGAAATCTCAAGACCCCCCGGTTTGAGGTCTTTGCCTGCCTGGGTGGTTCTGGGGTCATGAGGCCTGAGGCCTCTGAGTCATCCCCAGATGCCCCTGACCAGGCAAACTGTTTCTACCCCCCACCCCACCCCCTGACAGGGCTCTCTAGGACTAAAGTCTGCTCTGTAGCCCACCATGTGCCTGCCAGCACTGCCTGATCAAGTCAGATCCTTTTGTGATTCCATTTAAGAGCCTTTTGTTTTATTTTATTTTATTTTATTTTTTTGAGTCTCAAACTGTTATCCGGCGCAGAGTGCTGTGGCATCATAGCTCACAGCAACCTCTAACTCAGGCTCAAATGACCCTCTTGCCTTAGTTTTTTTGTTTTTAGTAGAGACGAGATCTTGCTTTTGTTTAGGCTGGTCTTAAACTCATAAGCTCAAGCAATCCACCCTCCTCAGCCTCCCCAGAGTCATTATAGGCGTGAGGCACTGTGCCTGGCTGACCCTTTTGTTTTAAAGTCTCTCTCAGAATCTTACTGGAACTTGGCTTCTTCCATGATAACATAGTTGCACAGTCCAGCTCCAGACAGTGGTGCCCTGCTTTCAGATATGTGTGAGTTTTGACAGTTTGGGGGCCAGAGGTGGGCACTGAGGACTGGATGATTTGACCAAGCCCAGCTCCTCTCTCCACTGTGGGTGGCCCAGCTGAAGGGCCAGCCTGACGCTGTACACAGGTCCCAGTAGAGCTGTTCTCAAACTTGAGTGGGCTGCTCATTTGGGGTACCTTTGAACAGAAGGAGGGGGTGTGGGGTCACAGGTGGTGATGCTGATGCTGTACTCTGAGGACCACTGTGCTCAGGTGACAAGTAACCTGGCTGCCCCTGGATTACCTGTGGCCTGTGGGCTGGGACGGCTAGTTGTAGGCAATATCCTTCTGTCTGATACTCTTAAATTGGTGTCTTTTGAAAAAGTCCTATTTCCTGGTTCACTCTGTTGAAGAGCCCTGTGAGCTGGCCTTCCCTGTGTCCTTGTTAGCCTGTTGGCTAAGCTGCTGACCCAACAGTTGCCGTGTAGGGTCAGAGGTCCAGCTCAGAAGTGACCTGCATTTGAGGTAAGATGACTGATTTTAATCCACTGCTCATGAAATTGGGTTGTGTTTTTTGGTATGTAAATTTTTTCTGCTGAAAACATACATGTGATCCATTCTTCCTAGGAATCAAGTAAAGTTGCTCAGTAGCTTAGGTACGGTTTAGTCGCTTACTATGATTTATAGCATACATACAGAAAGGTGTCACTGTGGAAGATTATTAAATTGTTATTCCAAGCACCTGGTTAGAATAATTAAGAGTCTTCTGCAGGTACCAGAACTGAAAATCAATTGTTTGAAAATTACTTACTGTGGGTGGCACCTGTGACTTATTGAGTAGGGTGCAGGCCCCATATACCGAGGGTGGCGGGTTCAAACCCGGCCCCGGCCAAACTGCAACAAAACAATAGCTGGGTGTTGTGGCGGGCGCCTGTAGTCCCAGTTACTTGGGAGGCTGAG